AGATTCAAGTTGGTTCAATTTTATGTCACCCATTCGTAGCCATCTATTCCTATAATGTTGCTTCATTTCTCGCCAATATATTTTTCAAGACACTTCTCAACCCAATTACTTTCGACATATTGCTTGTACTGCTTTGAGTAGTAGAATATGCAGATGAACTATTGAGATTCATATTTAAAACATCGGTGTTAAGTTTTAAAAATAATTATTTTGTTCATCTTGGTTCATGATGGTTGGTCCTTAGAAGTTCGCCCTTAGATGGAAGTTTATATCAAGCAGAATCTTGGTTGGCAAGGGCCCTTAATCAAAACTGATTTCCTGGCTGACCGGAGCGCGGACTTTCCGTTTAGCAATTAAACTAAGGACATTATTTTACTAATTTCATTGCTATTCCATTAGGGGTCTGCGTGATGCAGATAGGCTATCGTGGTGCGGCCGAAAGTCTGTCCGCTTCGGGCCACTATTTAATGGTACGGGTCCGGGCGTGTTGGCCGAAATGCGACTAATTACTCCCAATTCGGCCAACCAAGCGTGTGAAATCGAGCTGGGATCTCGCCAAGATGTTCCAATAAATTTGGCTTTATTTGAATATCTTTCAAAGTGAACCCCGCTAATGTAGCGATCGCTGGATGCTATTTGAAAGAACAGAAGATCCCAATTACTTCGTTACTTCGCATTCTTTTTATTTGCTTTTTAACGAATGTCAAACCAACTTCCAAGAACATTACTTATACTCTATGTCATAAGTAAATCATTCATGGATTAACAGTCAACTGATACTGCACTGATATGTTTTGAAGTTGCATTAGGTTCCGCAATTGACTACCAATTACCAAATGGAGAAAAATATCCTCCTGAACAATCATGAATACTTTTTGGTAGAAAGACTGTAAGCAATTCTTTACACCACCAACTTCAAAACAAAAATTTCATGAGTTGCATATAAGCAGGTGTTTTTGAATTGTTGAACACTAAAATACCAAAAGACTTAAATAACCTCACCGAAAAAAAAATGGGCGGAAATTAATGTTTTCCAACCAATCATTTACATCGATTTAAATTGGATGTGCCAAAGAAGCGACGAATCATTCGATTTTTGTGCTTCTGGAGTTCTTTTATCGTTAATTTCGAGTGCTTTTAATTTAAAAAACTTGTACTTCCTAAAATGTCCTATAAAAATAATGTTTTTATCAAAACAACTAAATACTCCACATGTGCTCGTATAAAAGTCTTCGTGGTGCACTTTTTACACAAGTTTTTTTTTACGTAGGTTTTTGTGATCGGAATTATTTTCCATACTAGTTTTCAATAAAGCTTGTTGATCTTAATAAGTTGTCAGTTTTAAGCACTATAAACAATCTAGACACAGCTAGTTTTAATGACTAATAAACGGAAGATTGGCGAGTTAAAAGCAGCAGTGCTTTCCCACAGAAAAATAAGACATCGTGCATATCTAGCGTCTGCCTGGAAGAAGAGAGATTTGAACGTCTGCCTGGTAGAAGCCAGACCGTTTTTAGACGATTTACTGTGAAAAATATTAATTAATGAAAAAAAATGTATAATCCTTCGATGTGGATGAAGTTGTTTAGACCATATTCCTTCGCACAGGGAAAAGGCTATTTATACGATTTCTTCTGCACAATGTCATATCTGCCTTCAAGTAGCCAAATTGTGGTCCTTCGAGGCGAATTTAGTGGGGTTTAGACCTTTTATTTTATAAAAAAAGTGTGTGCTGTTCTTCTAGTAACCAAATTGTGGTCCTTCGGTCCGTATGAAATTGGCAAGAAGATTTCTTGAGAGCATACCTGCCTGCCATCTAGCAATTCTTTTGATATCACTTTTATGTAATTATTTTGACCCCAAGAGTCGAGTAATGTCGATGTTAGTGGAAGCGATAACTAATGATTGATTATTTTAACAACAAATATGTTTCTTCTAAAGAAAATCTGATTTATTTATCATCATCAGTCATTTTATAGGAAGGGTTAAGTCACTCATAAATAATTAATAAATCTTCTAAACTAATAAGTAAACTGTATATATAGAGTCTGTGAAACGACTGATTTATAATTTATTGTTTATAATTTATAAGCTGAGTGAGTAGCGATAATTGAAGATGCACTAATTGTAGAAAATTGTTAGTAGCAAATTATGTTAAAACAAATTCCTACGGCAGTTTTTGAAAGACCTAAAATAATTTTATTTCAATCGTAACCATATTTAATAGTAAATCTGCAACTTAAAACTCCTAAAACTTCAAACATTTTCCCATTCAACCGCAACTTTACCTCTGGATGTATGAATCAAACTAAATGTGAAAAAAAATGTAACATTCATTGATTTTTTAATTTTTTTTTGATTTGATTTTTTGATAGACTCATTATTTTCTCGATGGCTGATCGCTTTAAAATTGATTGCAATTCTTAGGTTTTCCAGTCAAAGAAAAAACTAAAACTAAATACTTGTTGTTTGTCGAACAACACGTTTGAAAAACCATTTATATTTTGCGTTTCAATTTAAATGAACACACACAAAGTTTGTAACATTTTCATACTGCACTAAAATTTGCAAAACTACGTATGAAATCAATCGAATTATTAAAAAGCAGAACAAATAATATAAAAAAAACAATTTTAAATTCAACTGAAAGGAAACGAAACCTCAAAATCCAAAAACTCAAGCTAAAATATGACATAAATATTTAAAAACTCAAGTAAAACTACATGGTATAAAAATATTGTTCGGTTTTATCCGCGAAGGACACTCATTGGATAAACTCCACAAAATTGATATTTTAAACTGGATCTTAAAATATAT